TAAGGAAATGATCAAAGAATGATGAGGACATAGCAAAAGGACCCAGAAATCAGTGTGAAGAGGCTTCTACTAGCCAAACTGAAACTATTTGAATAGCAAAATAAATAATAAGAGGAATGGATTTAATCCACTGAATAACAGAGGAACCCAAAAGTCCATGCATTCATTCATTCATTGAATGTTTGATACAGAATGGGATATTTACATAGACTCACAAATACTAACCAAATTACAAAAAGAAAAAGAAAAATATCGAACTATGGTTATGTAAGATAGGAAGCTCAGTGAAGGGTGCAGGGACTTCTCTACTAATTTTGCAACTTCCGGTGAGTCTATAATTATTTCAAAATAAAAATATATATATTTTAATAAAAAAGGAAGAAGAATAACTTTACATTGGAGAAGCCCAGCCAATGTCACCTTAATCAAGAAGTGAAAGTTAACATCATCCATAATGGGACAAATCAAGATCATGTGCCACCTGAGAGGCTGCAATGAGAAGAATGCAGTGTCACTTCTCTGATCTTCTGCTGAAGATGCAGTCTGAATCGAACCATGGGAAAATATCAGACAGACCCAAATTGAGGGCCCAAATTGAGTGACATTCTACAAATTAACTGGCTTATAATCTTCAAATGTCAAGGTCATGAAAATTAAAGAAAGACTGAGGAACTGTTCTAGACTGAAGGAGACTCAAGAGACATAACTAAATACAACATGTGATTTGGAACTGGATCCTTTTGCCATAAAGAAAATTACTGAGACAATGGGTAACACTCGAGTGGGGCTGAGAATTAATTGGCAACGGTGTTATCAGTGTTGATTTCCTGATTCTGATAGTTATATTGTGGAAATGTAGAAGAATGCCCTTGTTTATGGAAAATATAAACTAAAAGTAATCCAATATGAAAGTTCTCTGCACTGTATTTGGAATTTTCTATTAGTTTGTGATTATTTCAAATAATTTTTTTATTATTATTTTAAAAATACAAATCCCCAGCACCTAGAACAGGAATAGCATTCTGAGTGCTCAGTAAATATTTGTTGAATGAATTAATAGACTATGTAAATAACTATAACAAACATCTGCTTAGAAATAGACATCCAGATATTAAAAGTGGTTTTTGGAGGAACGAATTTAGCAGAGGTAATTCAGGTAGCTGTTTTTTTACTTTGTACTTTTCTATTTCTTAAGTTTTCTGCGTCAAGCGTGTATTATTAATTGTTCAATTGGTCAGCTGCTAACTAGCTAAGAATAATATTTTAGAGGTACCACAAGTCTTGTCCTTGAGTTTATGGGTTCCAACAATTGATTATATCAGTATACCCCAGGATATAGAATACCAATACTGTATAAGTTCATTATTACTGGGATATAGAACTTCCCGGCATCTAGAATATTCTTGCCCATTACCCAGGGACCTCTCCCTTCCAGAATCATGGTCACTAGGTAGTAGAATCAGTCATCAGCAGTGCAGTCAACATGTAATTGTACAAAAGGTTTTGGAGAGTTTTGCGGGATATTTAATTTACGTTAGAGAAGGGACTGGAGAATTTTCTGGATTCAGATTTCCAGTGAACAAGATATACGCATCCCTTGGATATTACTGAATAAACATTGACAAATTCTAATTAAAAGGATCCTTTTTCTGAGCTCTGGGTAGACTGTTATCGTATAATGGACATGCTAATTTGATTGTTTCTCTTGTATTGATTATATTTTGGATAATTGTCTCTATGATAGGATTTGACAGGCATCCTAGTTCCTTTAGCAACACATTTACAAAGTCACCTCTTAAAGTAGACAACCTCCGCAGTTGGTTGCTGTCCATAACATGTAGATTTGTTTTAATTAATATTTAAATTTTATATTTTAATAGGTAATATATGCACATAGTCAAAATGCAAAAGGTACAATGAAGTATATGGTGAAAATCTCCCTCATCCCTTTCTCCTAAGTACACAGATCCCCTCTCTAGAAGTAACCAATATTATCAGATTTTTTATGTATCAGGAAGTTAGTTATACGTGAGCATGCATGTCCCTATGTGCACACATATACATTTTTCACTCTATATAATATTTTACACATTGTTCTTCACCTTGATTTTTTTCACCAAGAATCCATCTTGGAGGTAATTTTATATCAGTATATAAAGAGCCTCCACACTCTCTCTTTTTTTTTTGTTTAGTGCATGATATTTTTATTGAATGAATGTACTATCATTTTCTGAAGTAGTCTCTTACTAATGGACATTAAGATGACTTCCATATTTTCATTATTATACAATGTTCCATGCACATAAGTCATTTTGCACATAAGCAAATATATTTTTAGGATGAATTTCTAGCAGTATAATTGCTAGGTCAAAGGTACATATATTTTTGATAAATTTTGATATGTTGCCAAATTGTCTCTCTTAGAGATTGTATGAGAGCCTGAGTATTAACAAGTTTCTGGATTTTGCCTAACCAGTTATGAAAAAGGATAAGTCAGAGGAGTTTTAAACTACATTTTCCTTTAAGTGACTGAGGTCAAGCATCCTTTCATGTTTACTTCCTTTTCTGTATAGTTGGTATAGCCACTGCTCCTGTTTCTATTGAGTTTATTTGGAGGAGCACTTTATGTATTAGGAAAATTAGCCCTCTTCTGTGATGAATTATAGATATTTTTACCAAATTGAGTATGTATTTCAACTTTCATTTATGATAGTTTCTGCCTTGAGAGCACAAACTCTCAAAGCAGACTGCCTGGGTTTGAATCCTGGCTCTGCCACTCATCAGCCATGTGACCTTGAACAAGTTACTTACCCTCTCCATGACTCAATTCATCAGCGAAGTACTGACAGTAATAGTACCTACCTCACAGGGTTGTAATTAAAAGAATAAATATATGGGAAAAAACTTTAAAAAATATGAGGCATGTGACAAGAACTATAAAAGTATTGCTTATTTTTTTATGTAGTCAAATGTAATGTTGATTCATTTTAGATATCATTTCAAAGAAAAACTTTTATTTGCCTTGCCCTCCAATTCTGGAAATGAAATGGAAAAAAGGAATTATTTTAACTTTTGCTGATAATATACACCATTTAGATATCAAGCCATCCTAGTAAGAGAGGGTGCTCAATCGAAAGGAGTATAGACCAAGCAGTGAGGTGCTTTACAGTCATCACATTTACTCCTCAGACAATCTTATCATTATCCTCATTTTGCCTGTGAAGAAACTGAGGTTCAGAAATGCCAAAAAGATTTGCCTAAGATTCAACTTCCTTTGCGCATTGATTTGCAAATGTTCTTTTTCTCTCGGTGTGCCTGTTGTAGGTCCCCAAAGCATATCCGGTGCTTATTCCACTGTTCCCTCAATGGAAATTCAATAAGGCCCTGGCTGGCTGTTTGCCATTCATTCACTCAGTAAGCCCCCAGCCAACTCCTGACTTTCTCCAACGACCCTGGATCTTCAGCTTAGAATCCAGTTTGACTCTTCTCACAGAGTTCAAATCTTACAGATTTTCCCTTCACTGAAATGTGTCTCCCATCTACCCCTCCCATCCCAGCTGCCACCACTCTGGTTCAGGCTTGATCACTTTCCACAGGGACTGTTGCTGCAATAAGCTCCTGACAAGTCTCCTAGCTGACTTCCACAATATTTCCTCTCCAACCTTGTCTACAGTGCTGCCCGGGTGATTTCCCTGACACTCAACGTTAGTCCCCAACTCTCAAACCTTCAGAGGCTCCCTCTGCCTGCTCCTTTCTCTAACATTTGACCCAACCTACCTTGCTGGTTTTGCTGCCAAGACTCTTATCCCATCCAAACAACAACAACAACAAAAAGCCACATTATTCCTTGAACAGGCTTCCAATCGGGTTGTTTGTTCAGCTTAGGATTTCTGTCTGCCTTCCCTTTCAGGCTGCTCAAGCTTCATAAAGCTGTCTTTTATTCTGACTATACTCACTTCTCTCATTTCTAGCATCATCTCCCCCACTCTATACCTTGCATTTGTTTGTGAATTCCTGAAGAGTGGAAATCATACCTTTTTTGTTATTGATTAAAATGCTTTCACACACAGGTACAGTTGATAAACCCCACGACCTATTTTCCAATGGGTCCAGCCACTCACCACACCTATTTGTGGCAAAAACCAATCCTGGCCTATTTGAACGCAGCTCTCTTCACAAAACTGTCACTTCTGGTCAAGTGCCCATCACAAGTTTCCATTCCCTTTTTAGATCTGATGGCTGTCAGCAGACACCTAAAACAGGCATAGCACATGGAGAATATTCTGGAAATATTGGTTGTATGAACAGACTGTGTGCTGGAAAAAACACCAGAATGCTAGATTAACTTCTTTATTTCAACATAAAAAAAATCAAGGCACAGAAAGGCAAGTGACTTTCCCTAGGTCACACAGCTAGTAGGAAACAGAACTAGATCTAGAAGCAAGGTCTACTGACTGCAATTCTGGGCAAGCTGCTCTGCACCTTGGAGCCACGCAGTCCTAGAGTCAGCAGCCTCAGCTACCTGACGTCACTGTCAAAGACATCACCACCAGTTCACCTGTTTCTTTTTTTCTCCCTCATCTCAGAGCCATCTTTGTCATTCCCATAATACAATCTTTCCTCCTCCCCAAGTCTCGGTTTTGAAGACAGTAGCCCCGAGCGGCGAAAGAACTTCTACAGGTTGGATCAGTCGGCAGCGGATTCAGAAGATAGCCAGTGCTGGATGGGGCAGCCACCGTTTGGGAGGAGGGTGCCTGGGAGCTTCTGGGGTCAGAACGCGGCCTCGGGCCCGCCCCTTCCCCACCTCTTCCCCTCCCCTAGAGCTCCAGGCCACGCCCCCAAATGCGCCCGGCCCAAACACGCCTGCGGACACGCGGCCTTAACGCCAGGCCTGGGCGGAGCCGAAACTCCAAACCCCCGCCCTCTCCGCAAGATCCACCCTATTGGCGCAAATGGTCAGAAGCCGCTTCCAATGAGAAGGAAGGGGCGGCCGCCATGGCCCTATCCGTTGAGACAACACAAAAACGGACGCAGCTAACTGGCGGACGCTAGTTCAGGGTCTTTCCGGGTCCTTCCACGCTTCACCATTGCTTCTGCGGAGCCTGGGCCCGAGGGAGAGCCGGAGTGGACCCTCTAATAGAGTAAGTTTGTGCTAGCTGGGGTGACTATTGGCGTCAATCCGGGGGCTGCTGCTTCTTCCCCTACGGAGCTTGGGGTGGGACATGGGCGTGGGAGGAAGGGGCGGGGAGGGGCCGAGCACGTGTGTCGCCGGCCTGATCGCGGCGTGGGTGGGGGGCTGGGCCGGCGAGCTCCTGGTGTACCGGATTCTTAGGCGCTTGGAGTCCAGTTTGCGCTGTCGGGTCGGTTCTGCAGCCGCAGACACTGGGGGAGGGAAACTGAGTGTTGCTGCTCAGTGTCTGACCCGAAGGAGCGTTTTTTTCTAAACCCTGATGCAGAAGGTGCCACTCAACACCTGCCAGTGGCTGGATTGCCGGCCTTTGGCGGCGGTTTCCCAGGAAGTTCAGGTTGTGATTGATTTTTTCAGACAGGTCAGCATAACAGCTAACACAGGTTGAGCGCTTACTGAGTGCTAGCCACTGTGCTATTGCTTTACAAGCATTAATTTTTCGCAGCACTAGCTCTGTGAGATAGGTAGGAGATAGTACCTTTGTCAGACGCTGTAAGAGGTCCAGTGAGATTGTCATTTGCCCAAGGTAACGCAAGAACTAGTAAGTGGTGGGTCCTTGGGTTGAACCCAAGCTTTCCAAGTCAATTTCCACACCGAGTTGGGTTAGCCACCTTTTCCATACCAATAGTGGGGTGTCTGGGAAGCCTCATCGTCTGCCCACTTTGCTTCTGAAACCATGAGACCCCCTTCCCCTTGATGGGAGTGGAGTGGTCTGCGGACTTTAATTGTGAATCAAACAGCAAGGGAGAAAGAATGCAACAACTGATGCAACAACTTCCTTGAGGAAACAAACAAAATTCCAAAGCCCCAAACTCTAGTTTTAAATAACAGTAGAAATTGTAGTTGAGGGTTGTCCCGTGTGGGTCAGAAAGCCCAGGGGCCAGAGCTGCACAGGTGGAATCCCCTAACCACCACTCATGTGTCTTTCTGGACAGGATGCTTAGCCATCTAAGCCTGTTTCCTCGTTTGTAGAGTTAAAAAATACCAATTCATGGTGGGCATGGCCAGCTCCTTGTAGAGGCCATTTTATATTCTGCTTTACAGTGGCATCAGCATTTTCCACAGTACAGTCTAGTAGTTTCTATAATCTTAATCTTCCTATTGTTGGGTATTTAAGATGTTTCTCGCTTTAAATATTATAGTATTGCTGTAGTAAATCGTTTTTGTTTTTGAGATAGAATTCATCATCTTACTGTGTACAATTCGGTGAGTTTTATATTTGCAAGGTTATGCCATCACATGGTATCTCATACTCCAGAACATTTTCATCACCCCAAAAAGAAACCCCGTGGCCTCAGTGCAGCTCAGGTGTCTTGGAGCGGCACCTTGTTGGGCTCCAGCCCAAGCCCCTGGCCCTGTGTTAGGCAGGATGTTGAGGACCAGCTGCCCCAGCCACCCATCCTAAGGGGTTGGATGGGGCAAGTGGAGCCTCTGGCCACAGTGAATTTCAGCCCTTGAGGGAGTTCTGGTTCTACTTCCCTGGGCTAAATAAATTAAAGGGACCAAGGAGAGCCTGAGGCTTGGAGGCTACCACCTAAGCTCCCATGCTCTCCCATGCTCTGAAGCCGGGAGGGAGGCTGCCTGCAACTCCCCTTAGCCCAGTGCAGCAGCCCCCACCCTACAAGCCTCTAGGCCTTTTCCTGATCTACACCTTCCTGACTGCTACCAGGTCAGGAATAGTGTCTTGGGGCAGGGGAAGGGCAGGTTATCTGAGAAACTGGAGGACACTCAAAACAAAAGCATTTTGGATATCAGAGCCAAATCTTTGCCGCCCAAACTGTCAGACTGTGAGGCAAAGCCAATCTCCTGGTGAATGAGATCCAGGAGTAGGTCTCTACAGAGACCCCAGATTTGAAGCAAATAATGCTCATGAGTTCCGAACTTCAGGATTATTGACAAGTGGAGGTTGAAAGATTTGCTGCTGAAGGAGTTAAACTTTAGAAAGCTCTTGGAACCATTGTAAAAGTGAAATGGGGTGACCTCAAAGCAACATTAATAGCAAAGAGTGGAGAAGCTAAGCAGCTACTTGAATTAGGAAGGACAAGCCAGCAAATTGACCAACATGTTATTTGACTGACTGAACCCAGTTACAGAGAGCTACAGTGGACGCTACCCAAACAATTCTCATCCAGAAGAAACTGTTGGCAGTTTTGAAAAGCATAAAATAAAGGACATAAAGACTATATTTTCAGAATTTTTCATTATTGAAATGCTATTCACAGCAAAGCTTCAGAGGTATACTCCACTGCCTGCCAAAATATATAAAAGATTGATGGACCAGGAAAAAGATTTAGATGTTTTCAGAACTCTTGGTGTCCAACAATATCAATTTCATTTAGATGTAAGAGCAAATTCAAAGTTGCCTTTTCAGAGAGTACTGTCAGCGAAGAGTGTATTTAAACCAGGACAAGTGTCCAGCTATCGACTAAGAAAAGATCAACAAGCAGGAGATGAAGAGTTTGATGTTAAGAAGAAAATTAATTTTCCTCAGTTTACTTGTTTCCATTTTCATCTTGAAATGACTCAGAATCCAGGATTACTATACTGTACTGGGTTGCCGTGTTAAACCTCAAAATGAAATGCTATTGAAAATAGAGAAGAAAATTAAAGGACATTTATGCTGACCCAAAATGAAGATTTTAAAAATATTACACACCCAGTCTTTCAACCTTCTTAGTAATATATGACCAACTCCCGCTTTTGGATTTTAAGGTACTTCATAGTAATGTACTGCACCTGGCTGGGAGTGTGATAGAAGTAGTAAGTAGAGGAAGTAAATAACAAAACTAAAAGATCTACCAATTTCACTTAGCTTCTTTTAGGTTGACCCCAGAAAAGGATCTTGTCTGTTATCTAGTCATTCTGATTAAATACAGAATGACTTCTGTATTTAAACTTCTGATTCATGAAGCTTTAAGTAAAAAGATAAGTTTTCCATTTTTAAACTTTTACTGAAACATAAAGTATCACTTGATCTGTAAATTTACCTTTCAACAAGCGTGCAACAAAACAGAATAAAAGAAATATGACACCGATGTGTATGTTTTACAAATGCATGAAGCATCAATTTTAGTTTAACCCTTTTCTTGTTTGCCTCGAGACTACTCGCCGGCGGCACTTGTGGCCGCAGCATTTACCCTAAGATACCTCATGGATTACAGTCCTAACCTCACCCCCAAAGTCTGCCATGAATTATCTCGCTTTTATTATTACTTTTGCACTGCTCTAGTATATACATAGTCTTTGGAAACAAATGACATCATTCTGTTTTTAATAGTTCGATCGCTGAAAATATCAAATCTTAGAAATGTAGCATTTCTATGCGTGATGTTAAATAAACGCTGGCAGCGAGCTGCACTTTTTTTACCTAAATGGGAAATGGGTTAAATAAAAGTTACATTCACCTGATTCTGGTTTTAAACAAAACTGTCATACTAAAGTATTGTATATGGTACTACAGCTTTTGGAAAGCTAGTAATTTGGTGGAATATTGCTTTCAAAAAAACTAGTCAATGTGGAACATCATAAATCATTTAAAAATTTTATAAAAATTTTACCAAACTGCCACTTAGTTAATGAAAAGGTATAATTAGTACCTTTATTAGTACCTTATTTCTGAAAATATAAAATAATTTAATCATAGCATTTATCAACTCATTTGGGATAACTGGAAAAAAAAAACAATTCTTTAATACAGAAAAATAGACTTTCAAAAAGCTTAAAAAAAAAAAAAAAGGACCCCTGTACCAATTAGTCACTCCTCAGTCTCTACCTCCTCTCGCCCCAGCCCCTGGAAAACACTCGTGTCTCTGTGTGTGTGCCTCTCCCTCTCCCCCTTTCTCTCTCTGGATTTGCCTTTTTTGGAGATTTCATATACACTTAATCATACAATTTCATATCCAACTTCTTTCAGTTAGTGTAATATTTTCAAGGTTTATCCATATTGTAGCATGTATCAGCTCTTCATTCTTTGTATAGCTGAATACCATTCTTCTCTATGGATGTGCCATATGTTTTTATCCATTCATCAACTGATGGAAATACGAGTTGCTTCCACTTTTAGGCAAATATGAATAATGTTGCTATGAATGTTCCTGTTCAGATGTTTTGTATGGCCATATGTTTTCTGCAGGGTTTTGCTGGGTTGTATGGTGACTTGTGTGTTGAATGTTTTGAGGAACTGTGAAACTGTTTCCAAAGTGGCTGCAGCATTTTTCTGTTCTCACCAGCAAATCAAGAAGAATTTGTTATAGAATTTGTGAAATGTTTGGTTAAGTATTATACTCACTAAATTGCTCTTCCTTTTCTTTGTATTGAAGTAGCTTCAGCTCACCGTCTTATAGGTTGACGTGGAAGTGTTAAATAAATGCTCAATTCTGGAATGTAGGTCCAGACCGCTAGTGCTCATTCGATGCTAATTTGGATGTGGCATTCCACATCCAAGAGTGGAAGTTGGGAAATAAAGGCAAATAGATTTCTAATTTATTCTTTGGTTGCATTCAGCCCTAGAATTTTTTTCTAATTTTGTTGTGGCATTTGAATGTGGTTTTCAAATGTATTTGGTAAGATGTCATTAGTGTCTCCAGTGAGTGGAGGGAAAAAAAATCACCAAGTGTTGAGAAAGCCTAAAACTCACAGCAGCTGGTCCATGGACCATAGTTCAGTCTTTTTAAGAACTGATGTGATTCCCAATATTAAAACTTGTGATGTTTTGATGATTAAGTGATAGATTCAGGCTATACAAGATAAGATTTGAAAAAGCTACTCAAAATAGTTATTGCAAATCAGTGTCATTGAGAAGCGCTTTAATCTCATTCCTTATGTCAAAAAAACAGCACATGCACATCCTTTACTTTAATAGCTAGTGTACTTGAGGAAGCTAAAACGTTCTTTATAAAGCTAGATTGAAAGAAAAATTATTATATGTTCTGGTGTTATCTCATAAGGAACAGAAAGAAGAATAACCCAAGACAGTTCCTATGCCAAGCTCAAACTGCTGTCTTAAAGTAATTGTGAGTCCGTCAACACCTCATACAGTGACCCAGGGGCATCCTTTAATAGCTAGTGTACTTGAGGAAGCTAAAACGTTCTTTATAAAGCTAGATTGAAAGAAAAATTATTATATGTTCTGGTGTTATCTCATAAGGAACAGAAAGAAGAATAACCCAAGACAGTTCCTATGCCAAGCTCAAACTGCTGTCTTAAAGTAATTGTGAGTCCGTCAACACCTCATACAGTGACCCAGGGAATGGAGGTTAGCAGGTTGTCAGGCCAGGTGTCACCTGTGAGGTAAGAGACTGCATGCAGCCAGAGAAGTGGCTACAGACGCACTGGATTTTATCTGTCTCTACCTGAAGGCAGGCAGCCCTTCACAGGTGAGGCTTGGTGTGGCCACTTTGATAATAACCCAGAGTGGGCCAGCCTTTTGCCTACTTCTGAACATGAAGCAACTATCAAGAAGCAAATAGAAAAGTGCATACACATTTGTATGTAATGTGTTTTCTCTTATAGGAGAAATGCATAAAACCAACTGGAAAAGTAGAAGGCCTGGGAGGAGGAGCCAGCGGCAAAACCCTTGGTTCAGACAACATGGCTCTAATGAGAGGCAAGTGCTGTTTCCCGGTGTCATTGTAGCATTGTCCAGCATCCTCACATGCACATGAGTCACTGGCGGCCTCGTCAAAATGCAGAGAGTGAGGTGGGGCCCGACTAGAGAGTCTGCATTCCTAACAGAGTCCCAGACTAGACCAATATTGTGGAAAGATCAGGACAGTGTCCAGTGTTTGTATGTTTTGAAAGAACCATGGATAGTTCAGGGCCCCAGGCCTTCCCACGAGAGTACAACATGCAGCAAGGCGTGACCTGTGCAAGAAGAGTCTCAACTCAGCTTTGGCAGAGTTGTGTGGAAACACGCTGGACAGCCACCTTCTGGGCTCTGCGCGGAGAGTGGGGCAGCGGTCCTTGGACTAGTAGTCCTTGGACCAGAAGCAGAGACATTTGTCATGACACTTAATCCTTCCTTTCTCCTGCTGCTGATCACAGATGAGCTACCACAGGAAGCTCTGGGCCATAAAAAGGGAGAATAAATTTTCTCTGAATACATGCATAGTATTTATAGACAAAAGAGGAAGTTTTTTTATTTTTATTTTTATTTTTTATTCCTTCAACCTAGTTTTGAAGTTTGTACTCCTTTTGGTGTGGGGAGAGGGAGGTTCTTGATTTTAAAGAGGATTTTTATCAGGATTCTAAAATTCAGTCTTTTGTTGTATTGTTATATCCTTTAGCCATATTTGCCACAGAAGCCACTTGTAGCTTTGTAAAATGAGTGTTTAAACAATGGCTCTACATCAGTATTACTGAGCAGATCACTTCTATGCCCTGACCCCAGTTTCCCTATCTGTAAGATTGGGTAAAATTTAAACTCTTTGTACTGCTGAATTCAATAAAGAATGAAATTCACTTAGCCTTATAACTGCTGTTGAACTGATAAATGAGCCCAGCTGGTAAAATTCTTATTGGCAAAGATTTCTGTTTTCTTTTTTATGAAATGCTTAAGTGAGGAGATAAGAAAAGGGAATTACTGTGACACGCATTCTTTTAAGGATGAGAAACCAAAACCTTGCCCTAACTTTGGTGTATTTGCAGTAGGTAAACTGCCTTCAAAGAAAAGAAGGGTTAGTTCTTCCTAAGTAATCAAAGGTCAAAGGGTCAGGGGTAAAGGCTGTGGAACTACTGACCCGCCCCCTGCCAGGACCCCACAAAGAATGACTGGGACTCAAGCCCTTCACTTCCAGTTACCATGACTGTGTGTCAACAGGTGCGACACGGAGGCACAGCAAAGCCCACAGGATTCCGGCCACAGCGACGAGGAGGCCCCATCGACCTCATCCAGCACAACCGGAAGTTCTTCTGTGCCAGGTAGGGCAGTCTGCTGGATAGGCCTCCTCTGGCCCTGCCTGTGGGGAAAGATGAAACCGAGGCCTGCCTCATCATCATCTGGTTATGCCTGTTCTGGCTGCCCTTCCTCCTCAGTCCTTGGTGACTTCACTTGTACGTGGGTATACGCCACGTGTCACATCCCATTCCTGGCTTAGAGGAAATTCTGGGAGCAAGTTGAAACACTAAAGGGAGGAGCTGGATGCATCAAGAACGGTGATCCTGAGGCAAACAGCTCCCCCCAGGACGGAACTGGGCTCCAGATGGTGACCGACAGTGCTGGCCCACCTTCTGCCCCTCAGAAAAGACAGGCAGCTCTGAGGGGTGGTGGACAGGCCACTGGACTCCTTACCAGGTGGGTCAGTTCATAGTGTTTTAAGGTGGATTTTATTTCTTTTGACTAAAGATCTACCAGGGTATTACTTTGACCCTGAAAAGAATCGCTACTTCCGCTTGCTCCCGGGACATAACAACTGCAACCCCCTCACAAAGGAGAGCATCCAGCAGAAGGAAATGGAACACAGGAGGCTGCAGCTGCTAGAGGAGGAGGACAAGCAGAAAAAGGTGGGCTCCACTTTCCTGGGGGCCGCCCTGCCCCTGCACTCCCGCCAGCCTCCATCCACTGCTGAAAGCAGGTGCCAATTAAATGCCCCTCTCAGACTCAGCACAGTGCATGTTAGAGAATGTGGTGTTTTTCTTGACAGGAATCGGAAGAAGAGAATAAGAATATGCAAGAAATCTCCCGCCCCACTTTTTCTATTTCCTAAGTTTCACCAGTAATTCTAACATTTTGTCCTTCTCTGGAGGAATCTTGAAAAGCAGCATGATACAGTTTTAGTAACTGTATATTTTAAATAGAAAATCAGGTCTATGTGGTTTGGATATGAGGGTTTCTTGTATCCCTTCTGGAGATCAGATGCCAGGACATTTTGATGGTTATGGGGGCAACAGAATGGAAAATCCCGGCTGCAAGGTCACCATAGGTTGAACAAAAAGCACGATGCAGATCTGGGCGTCCAGTGCCGTTCCTGCACTCACTAGTTTGGTGGCTTCATCTCCTCAGGTACAAATTGATGGGGGCCTTGGACAGAGGCACTGAGCAGACTTTATAGCTCACACATACTTCTTTGTGATATACTTTTTCTCTTGCCAACGAGAGGAGACAGTCAGATTTTTATGCATATAATTTCTGCCAACTTTGTACCTGTTTCTTCATTGCATCCTGTGGAACTAAAAACATTCTCCATTATCCCATACATAAAATTTCACTAAAACTATCTTTTTTTTTTTTTTTTTTAATTTAGAAAATAACCAGGATGGGATTTAATGCATCTTCCTTGATACAAAAAAGCAAGCTGGGTTTTCTCAATGTCACCAGTTATTGCCGGTAAGTCAGTGCCTCATTGTTTCCTTCATGAATGTTCTTTTCCTCTTTTTTATTCCCATGGCCCAAGAATCCAGTCAGGAAACCACATAGGTACTCTGTGAGGAGGAGTATGTGATTGCAGGACCCCAGCTCACAGTCTGCCTTCTGCTGCTGAAACCAGCCTGAGACAATCATTTTCCCTCTGGAGCAAGTGGGGAGACTCCTGTAGGGGACCAGGGGGAGAGGAGAGGGAATCTAGGCAGAGAAACTGGGCAGAAATTTCTCAGGATGTTCCCTCTGTTACTCATAAACCATGTTTACTTTAGTAGTAGGTCTTATAACTTCATTGCTGTGAGATTTCTGCCTCCTTTCCCCTTATCTAATGGGTTGTCACCAAAAATGGAGCATTAAGTGGATGTATGTGTACTAAACTTTAAATACTTGTGATTCCTGATATAATTTTAGCTAAAACCCCGTGAGATAGGTTGATTCTTCCCCCAGTTTCCAGAAGAAGAGACTGAGGCTCAGATTGGAGTGATTTTTCTCAGGGTAAAGTGAGAAAGGACGGGATCTGTCTGACTCCAACGCCTGAGTTCCTAACCCTGTGTTCTGTTGCCTCCTGCTATGTGTGGGCAGGTGAAGAAACAACATGAGTTTGGGTAGCTTATAGATAGGGGACAGTTCTCATCAAGGAGCAGGGCCACGTTCAGGGTGGGCCAGCCATGCAGGAGGGATGAGTCAGGGCAGGTAGGGACATGTCTCTCCATTATTCCCCTAGAAGACTTGTAGGTCAATAATAGAAAATAATACTGAATGTCAACTCTAATTGAAAAATAAAAATATTTAAAAAAAAAGAGTTAAAAGTCTGGTTTGAAAGATCTGTTCTTCACCCTTAAAGATGCTTTGTCCTTAGTGGAGCGATAGCATGATGTGGAGAGGGAACGGGCCAGGCAGATGGGCGGCTGCATGCCTCGGCTCTTCCCATTGCCTATGTGTCCTTCGGTGTGTTGTTTGATTTCTCAGGTACCTTCTCTTGGTCTCAAGAGAAAGAGTCGCACTAGATGATTCAAAAACAAATTCCTGTAGTTCTGACTTTCTTCGATCCTGTGAATGGGCTGATTTCTTTGCTTTAGTTTTCCTGAGTTCTAAAATTGAATTTTAGGGGGATCTCGCTCAATTTCATTGCTGAGAAATAATATGGAGAAAGCTGACTGGGGGAGATGGTCCCCAGGGTATGGGACAGGGTAGAACCCCACCCTGAACCTTCCTCGTGGGTATTTCGGTATGGCACCCGTGCCCTCCCCGTCCCCTCTCTTTCCCCTCTGCAGTTTAGCCCATGAGCTTCGAGTGAGCTGCATGCAGAGGAAGAAGGTCCAAATTCACAGCTCAGATCCGTCCGCTTTGGCAAACGACCGATTTAACCTCATACTGGTGAGTGACAGGGATCTATCTGTGGGTGCCAGGGGTATGACTGCCATCCTCCGACACTTTGTGGCTTAGCATTGGCTTCCATCAAGCCTGGCAGTGTAGATGGTAGTTGCATGATAGTAGGTGGTGTCCTCTAGGTTCCAAGCACCTGCTGGCTACCTATTGGCAGGTGCCAAGCTGGCAGGGCAGGCCATGGAGACCATCGTTACCCCTACTACAGCTCAGTCATTTGACATGAGAGCCAGGGCCCACCACACATTGACTGAGAGCTATCACAAAGTAACTTTCCCTCGGATGTGTTGTGTACACAATCAAAAGGGTACACAGTGGACGGGGCTTCTAATCCTTCTTATACTGGGCAGGATTTGGTGGCCAAACCTGAAGCTCCAGTGTCCTCAGTAGTAACAGCATGTTACTCCCTTGCTTGCTGTCCCTGACTTGAGTGGCAGGGGCCTGCAGGCCTGTGTCCCTGGGCCTACACATTCATCACACCTTCATCACATCATTTGCAGGGAGCAGAATGTCTTCTCTGCTCTTGGTTAGACCCAGGCTGGAAGCCAGGGCCAACTGCTTGAGTCCCGGGGCCAGAGTAATGTTGGCAGAGGGTCCACTGCAAATAGAAGAAGCCAGACCACTCAGTTAGACTGGGAACTCGAGGCCGTAGGAGAGCATGGCCTGCCTAGGAAGCCCTGTCCTTCCTAGAGGTCTAGGGAAAGCTGAGGATGGTGAGAGAGAGACACAAAACAGAGAGCCTCGTTCTAGTCCACTGACAGGCCAGGGGCTGAAGCTACAGAATTAACCCTTACATCTTGCTCCAGGAGACCCTGACAGCATACAGGGAGTTGGGGGTCAGAACTCACCTTCTCTCCTATGGCTTTACTCTTCATATGTGTTTGGGGATGCAGTTTGACCTGAGTACTTTCTTGCTGTGGGTTCCCCTCAGGAGCCCTTCCCTGGGCTCTTCGGTAAACTGGGGCACGGAGGTGGAGGTCAGTGTGCACATGCTGCTTAATATAGGCTGAGCCCCTGGTCCTCACATGGTCTCACACAAGCTGTGGGCAGGCCCATGGAAGACCTTCTGCATCACCCAGAGTTACTGGCTGGCTGGTCTGACCAGAGGGTTGTGCAGGGTGGTTTGCTACCCAGGGATCAGTTTTTCAGATCTGACTCTAGTCTCTGGTAATGATTCTTCAGGAACATAACTGTTCTTGCCAAGTAAACTTGCAAAGTGAGTGCGGTTTTACTAGCATCAAAATCGATATGTATATGTGTGTGTATGTTTATAAATATATATAAAACACATATATAATTTTTGCTTTGAAATAATTATTAACCACATTTTTAAAAGAAAAAAAAATCTTAAAAATAACCCACAACCCAACACAGCCTTTTCTATTGTAAATTTTTTTTTAGTGCAATTTTTTTTTTTTTGTAATCATGGTGCCTGTGTAATGGGAATGCAATTTTGTATCTTCCTTTTACCCTTGACAATTTAACTGGCATCCACATTGCTGTGTGGCTTTCATGATGGTCACATGTTCTGTCACCACATTTCTCTGGGTGGACATTAGGACTCTTCCAAACCCAGTTCTAAGTGAGGTTCTGTGCAGACCTCTTGGCCACACCCCCCTTACTGCCATCCTCATCCCTGCTCCTGAATTGTGAGATCAGACACCTGTGCCCAGCGATGGCTATACCAAGTAGGGGCAAGTTAGGTCATCTCCATGCTCCCTCACGGTCAGGAGCTCTCACCTGCGCAGAGCACAGGAGCTGGGAGAGATGGCGCATGGTCTTAGGCCCAGGAGGTCACCTACAATCCACTTTCCCCCTCCAGGCAGATACCAACAGTGACCGGCTCTTCACAGTGAACGATGTCAGAGTTGGAGGCTCCAAGTACGGCATCATCAGCCTGCGCGGGCTGAAGCCCCCCACATTCAAGGTGCATATGCATGAAAACCTCTACTTCACCAACCGAAAGGTACGGCTGCCTTCCCTTTAGCCCTGCAGCTGCTTTGCCTTGGATCTAGGGGCACGGTAGTGGTTGGCCAACTTCAGAGTAGAGGAGAGAAATTTGTGAAGAAGCCAATACTCAGTTACCTCATTTTCCCAAGGGGAAAATGGAGTTTTAGATCCTGAGAACCCAAAGAAGAAGAAAAGGGCCTCTAAAGTTTCTTATCTTGGAGAAGAAATTAATTTAGATGGGAGAAGCTTGAAGCAGTGGTTCTTTAACTGGTTGTAAGGACCTTCCCTTCAAGAGGATCGAGTTGATCTGAAGGAGCCCACACCAAGGCAGGTCATGGGAGGCGGGCAGCAGTAGCCTGAGTGGAGAGGCCTCCCGGTTCCTCAGGATGGTGTGTCAGTCACTCAGCCCGTCTGTGGCTGACATTGAGCTTTACATAGTATGAGGAGCTTGCTGCCTAAGGGGCAACCTTTAAATGCAGTGGGGTGACAACTGGATTCCTAAGAAGCTGTGACTTTGTTTTGTTGAGCCACAGGATGGATACAGGTTGAAAATGGTTTCTGGGTAAAGTGAGATACAGTTAGGTTTGTTTCTTGCCATTACAGAAAAGTCATCCCTGCCCTGGGGGGTACACCCAGATGTCGCACTATGAGGCTCTTGCTGATAATGAAGGACCGAGGCCTGGGGGCTACTTCCTCCCTGTCCCTCTTTAAGACTGCCTAATGGGACCGGGAGCTTCCTTGTTTCAGAACGCTTATTCCAGTCTTTAAAGGAGCGAGACCTAGAAAAAGGTCACGTCTATATCCCCACAAATTACAGGAAAGCATCTGTCTTTCTCTCCATGAGTTGGCAGTCAAACCAATCTTTCCGTCCTGCTGTGTGCTTCCTCACCAGGTGAACTCTGTTTGCTGGGCCTCGCTGAATCACTTGGATTCTCACATTCTGTATCTTTTGGCAGAGGAAGAGGTTTGGTGGGCAAGCCACACCTTGATGTGGATGGGCGTCTGCAGGGTTTGCGAGGTGGCATCTTAGTGGTCAGAGGTCTGGGCCATTTTGTACCCTCTCTTAACCCTTTCAGAAAGAGCATTTCACATAGATTGAAAACAAGAATTCCCATGGAGCATAGGGAAGTAGTTGTGCCCTGGGGTGATGTTATGTCACTGTGTGCTGGACACTGTTCTGGAACTTGAGAGTTGATGCTCTAGCAGAGCAATAAAGCAGAAAGGAGCAATAAAGCTTTGGGAAAGAATCCCAAATCCTCTTGAAGCAAAGGAGATACCAAGAGCTGCAGTGGTCCCGGGGTGGGATGGGCCTCCTAGGGGAGGCTGGCTGAGGGCAGGCACCAGAGAAGGGGGTGCCTTTGGCATGGGACATGAGTCTGTGAACTCTGGGCCTAGGGTCGCTGCCAAAGGGGCCTTCTATAGAGCACTCTTCATTCTAGTCTCCGCCTTCCCAGAGAGCCATCAAGGCTTTTCTGCTGGGAGTAGTGTAGTGTCAGGGTAGCTGGGCCCTTTCTCTGGATCCCTGGGGCCTCTCGATTATGCACAGGGCAACTGTCCATCATGTGCTTCAGAGGAGAATATTCTTTGACCCAAAGCCAAAGCCACGTGTTCTTGGTTCATATAATAAGTGTGTTCATGAAGCCATGACCACTTGTACCAAACACCTACTTCGTGAGCTGTCATGAGGTTAACACTTAACATCTGTGAATGCACTTAGCACAGTGCTTGGCATGTCATGGGTCCTCAAACAAATGATAGCTGAATTGGAACCTGCTTTTTTTTTTTAATTTATTCCACAACACTATTTCAAAGGTTTTAAAGCCTAAATTAGATATCTGATTATAAATTTTATGTCAGACAAACACAGAACTGTGTGTTCTGTAAGTTGAAAGTTTTACGAGGCTTCGTTTGGTGGATTTGAGATGATGGGAAGACTTGTTACTGATGATCTCGTCAGAGGACAGAAGAGACTAAGCCTTAAAAGAGAGAGAAAATAACTTCACTCATTGCTGATCGGAAAACAGTATGGCATTTTTTCATTTTTCTGTGGGCTGAGAGGATAGAAATCTTTATAATTGGACTTAAAGAGTATGAAGGATGTAGTCTATTTCAGGGGTTCCCAACCCCCAGGCAGCAACTCGTGCTGGTCTGTGGCATATTCGTAACCAGGCTGCACAACAGGAGGTGAGTGGCAGGCGGGTGAGCAAGCGAAGCTTCATCTGTATTTGCAGCCACTCCCCAGTGCTAGCATCACCGCCTCAGATCTGAGCTCTACCACAGATCATCAGGCATTAGATTCTCATGGGAGCACCAGTCCCTGGTGCTAAAAAGGTTTGGGACCGCTGGGCTATTGTAGCTTGATTGGTGGCTTGCCCTCTAGTGGTCATTTCAGGTAATCTTCAGGCTTTTGTGCAGCTGTTACTTCTGCTGAAGACCATGAAACTTTCTTCTTTGCAAAAATGGAACCTTATTCAGACCAGACCTCCATTCTGTGTGTTTCCCCCAAAGAGTGGTGGAAGGTTAGACTGAATTCCACACTACTGGGCTCTTCATTAACCTTTGGCCTATTAAAGGATTAAATCCTCAATACTGGACTGTAAATATCCATTTTGACTATAACCTGGGTTTCAGCCACAGTAATTGAAAGCATACCTGTGTAAAGACTTTCTCCCCACATCCTTGCTCTCCAAACCCAGATGCAAAAGAGATTTATTTAGGAAGGCATTGAGCTGCCCAGCTAGTGTTCTCATTTATAGTTGTAGCAGCCTCTATACTAGAGATATTTAACATGGGCTTACCACCCAAGGCAACATGACATGCACACATCACTCATTCAGATTGTCAAGAATGTTGCATGATTGCTTTGCAAATATTTACATTTTTCAGTGAGGGGTGTGTGTATCCATTCCACTAACATCTATTGAGTGTATGTAATCCCTGTGCAAAGTGCTGGAGATGAGCAGCTCAACAGGTGATCAGTCTACACAGTGATGTCTGTGGGGCAGTTGAATGCAAGAGGGATGCAAGGATTTGGGCAGCCTTCCTGGAAGTGATTCCCACATGAGAAGGAAGAGACAGAGCTCCCATCAGAAGGAAGAATCGAGACAGAGCTTGGCACATTGCATAGCATTAAGTAGGGCTTTGCAAGTCGGAGTCCTCAGGGATGTGGGATACCCCTGGAAGATTGTGGTCATGGAGTCATTTCTTATATAGCAGTGCGGGTGATAGGCTGGCCAAGGGTGAGACCTCGGACGGAAGGCTGGTGCACGACCAAGTGGGCAGTGGAGAGGGAGCCAACGAGCAGGAGGAGAGGAGAGATGTGAGTCTAAGAGGCCTGGAATCTAGACCAGGGAACTCCAAGAGAATGGTGTCGCGGAGGCCCAAGGAGTGTGTAGTTAGAAATCGTGCTGCATGACCGCGGGCCAAGACTGGAAGGTGTTCATCAGATTTAGAAACTAAGGGCTCATTGGAGACCTTGGGGAAAACATGTCACTGAAAAGGTAAGTGTCATACCTGGATTTCAGTGGGCTGAAGAGTGAAAGAAAGGCAAGGAAGAGGGAATAAACGTAGGTTCCTGTTGAGAGTTTTGGCTGTGAAAGTGGGGTGGGGGGGGCACCAAATCAGTCAGAAGACAATTCAATAGGAAAGTTGGCAAAGAATATGAAGAGACGGTTTAAAAAGGAAACCCAAATGACTTAAAAGTCTGATAGTGCCAAGATTTGGCAGATGTGGAGAATGGGGAAAACTGCTGGTGTAAGTACGTTGATACAGCCACTTTAAGTTGAAGGTGCATGAACCTTACAACCCCGCATTTCCACTCTGAGTATAAACATTGGAGCAGTTTTCAAACTTAAGTTGTGACCTGTTAGTGGGGGCCATAAATCAATTTGTGAGCCATATTTTTAAAATGAAATAGACTAGAAAATATCAAGAGTTTCATACTTAGGAAGGGCAAATATTTTATAAAACTTTTGTTTCCAATATTTTGTGTGTATATAGCATAGTGTGTAAAATTAAATTCTTACCATGGGTTTAAGAAACACTGCCTAGAAAAGCCTCCCACACATGGGAGTGGGAGACAGGAAGGCGCTCATTCCAGCAGCAGAACAAAAAAAAGAAAAGAAAACCTAAGTGCCCGTCAGCAGGAGACTGGATAAATAGTGATATATTCATACGAAAGAATGCTCCATGGCGAAAATGAAAGAACAGGCTGTAAATGTCAACATAGATGAATCTAGAAGATAGTGGAGACTGGAAAATTGTAAAAGATACTCCACATGATGCCATTTACATACGTTTTTAAAACATAAACAACTGTATTGCTCCTGGCCAAATATCATGTGGTGGAAATATTATAACATGGCCTAGAACTCAGACCAATTTTAGAATAGTGATTTTTTTTGCTCTGCGGGGGAGAAGGGAGAATTGGCCTGGGGAGAGGTCAGAGGGCTTTTAACTGTATCTGCGACATTTTTTTCCTTTAAAAACATCTGAAACTAAATATGGAAAATGTAAATGTGTTAAATCTGGCCTTACGGGTGTTATTTTTATAATTTTTTGAAGGGTGCTAATGCCCATTCTCCTCCCCGAGGAGAGCCTTGTACTTGACTGTCCTTAACAGCTTTTCCAGATTGTGCCTCATGGGAATTGCAGAGACTCCAGGCTGCGCCACCCTGCTCCCAGCATCACTGTTCGTCAATAGTCATCCAGGTACCAGGCCCTTTTGCTTTGGATAAGGGGGTGCTCTGACAGGTGTCTGTCCTCTGCCTCCCAGCAGCCAACGACAGCTCTCGGGAGAAGGCTTGGAAAGGAGGGGTAGGAACCAAGGGCTGTATGAACCCGGGTCACAGCTGGCAGGGGTGACAGTCTGCAGAAGCATCTGTGGGAGGATTCCTTGAACCTGACCCAGGATTCGTACTAGAAGCATGTGCATCTTTACACATGTCCTCCTTTTGGGTCATTTTAGCAGCCAGAACAGTTAAGTGCATGTAACCAATACAAAAGATGAGAAAATATATTTGGGCTGCCTGCACAGATCATTTACGAAAGTGGGACCAGTACTGTCGGGGATGCTTACTTCTCTCTGGCTGAAGGCAGTTCAGGATTCTGGACTTCTCCTCCCTGGCAGCATTCTGGATATTAAGTTTCCAGTCTTTCAGAGACTTAGGATCAATTAGACAGGGGTGTTAGAGAAGAGTGCAGGCTTCAGGCAGATCTGGCATGAATCCCAACTTGACCAGATTGCTTAACCACTGTAAAGTGAAGATAATACCTATTCCGTCAAGTTAAACGAAGGATTAAATGAGCTCATGCACACTTAGCGCTGGCATTTCATCGTATAGCAAGCTTGTGAGGCAGGAGTACGTATTATCACCAGTTTACAGATGAGGAAACTGAGGCAAAGAGAAGTTCAGAATTTGCCTTAGAAAACTAAAAACTAATCTGTGGTATTGGAAGTCAGAACAGTGGTTCTCTTTGGGGAGGAGTGGGGATGTAGCAATTGGGAGGGTACTAGAATGTTCTGTTTCTTAACCTGGGTGGTGGTTACGTGGCTATATTTACTTTGTGATAATTTATTAAATTGTATATTTATAATTTATGCCCTTTATGTATGTTTTGTCAATAAAGTTTTTTAAAAATGTTTTGCTTGAGATTATACAGCTAATGGTATGATCTGGGATTGAAACCGTTTAATTTGTAACACCATACTGCCTTCTCAATAGCTGTTAATATTTTTAATACTTCTACTGGGACGTCAGGAACGATACGCATATTCACTCTCAGAATAACCACTTTTGCACCAGGCACCTCAGCTAAGTGTCTCTTTTTTGCTACCACAAAACCCAGAATAGGGGCCAAGGTATTCCTGAGCAGCTATTCTTGGAGGTTTCCCAAATCTGGTGATCACTGGCCTGGCAGGGTGAAGGGACAGTCTCCCTTCATGCCCTGTTGGGCAGCCAAGATTTACAGTCAGTTTTCCTCTCAGCAGGAGACCGACCTGGCATGCTCTGCAGTTTTCGGATCCCCGGGGCCTGGTCTTGTGCGTGGTCCTTGAACATCCAGGCGAATAACTGCTTCAGTACAGGTGAGCCATGGCTGCCACCCTAGGTCACCAAAGTAAAGGATTTATGAGACCTTAAACTCCCGTCAAGCAGTCCCTCTCCCTGGACTGCAAGTAACTCTTGTCTCTCCGCCCTATCTGTGTCTCTGTCAGGCTTATCTCGGTGGGTCCTGGTGACCAACGTGGTGACGGGACACCGGCTGTCATTTGGGACCAGCAGTGATGTCTTGGCCCAGCAGTTTGCTCTTATGGTTGGTTGGATTGAGATGGGCATAATATAAAGTTATCCAAGAGTGGAAATTTTGCTGGATTGAAATTGGATTCTCACGTGGCATTTAGTTCTCCCCCTTTTACAGGGGAAAAAGGGCATTGTTAATGGTTACTTGGTGAATATGCATGCACTGAATGAAAGTTTGCTGATCCAGAAAGGCCTGGCTAAACTTGCTTTAAACAGCTTCCTGTTTAAATGAATTGTTAGCCATTTTTAAGTAGTAATTTTTTTAATGTATAGATTATGTCCCAAATCTTAGCACTTAAAAGTTTCATACACAGCTTTCGAGTTACACATTTTATAAATTTAAAAATCAAAATTCTAGTCATTATTGCATTTCAAAGATTTGACCCACAGAAAATGCCATTTCTCTTTAAAAATGTAGAGAGGGGAGCGTGTTACCCTGCTTCCAGCAGTAAGCACAGAGTTCATTAATTCAGGTTTCTTCATCTTCCTTCTCTATTTGGGACCCCATGTCTTACCTGGACTGTTGATCTCTATTTGGGACCCATGTCTTACCTGGACTGTTGATCTCTCTTCTCCATATTCATTACCCCAGCTTATCATGAATGACCTTGGTAGAGACAGAGTGCCATATTCATTACCCCAGCTTATCATGAATGACCTTGGTAGAGACAGAGTGCCATCACTTGGACTCCAGAGTGAGGCCTAAGGAGCAATGCAGTCTTTGGGGAGGGTCTTGGAGGGACACATGGGGTCCAGTTCTTTTCCTTTTTCATAAGGAACCCTTCCAACTCCACTGTGCTTCAAACCCTGACCAACCCATCTCCACCTGCCCCTGTAACCCAGAGGCTGGGATGGTAGGGGAGAGGCAAGGGTTGCGTTCAGGAGGGCACACCCCTCCCAGCCATAGAGGGAAGTACCAAGCAGTCCCTCTTTCTACAGGCTCCTTTACTGTTTAATGGCTGTCGTTCTGGAGAGATCTTTGCCATTGATCTGCGTTGTCGAAATCAGGGCAAGGGCTGGAAGGCCACGCGCTTATTCCACGACTCAGCAGTGACGTCTGTGCAAATCCTCCAAGAAGAGCAATGCCTGATGGCATCCGACATGGCTGGAACGGTAGGGTAGCACTGACTTTCTCAAGCCAGTGGAGCTGGTGGCCCAGCAGAGGTCTGCCAGATGGAGGGGCTCTGTTAGGGGAAGGGGCTCTGCAGAAGAGACCTGCATGCCAGACAGCAGCAGGGAAAGGCAGCTGGAGACCAGGTGAGTTGTGAGCTGTGCAAGGCAGCTGCTTTGCTGTCCCCTGGGAGCCAGTCTGGTCTAGACAGCCGTGAAACTGGCTCTGGTGCTTTTGATGGACTCTAGGGCTCAGGAGTTTGAGGCTTAGATTTTCCTAACTGGAAGAGTTCTTTAGAGACCACCTCACCCTCCCTGGCTTCTATGCCTGGGTTTCACCAGTGTACCTGCTGGACCCTCCTTAATGGCCCTTTGTGCTTCTTCCCACAGATCAAGCTGTGGGACCTGAGGACCACGAAGTGTATAAGGCAGTATGAAGGTCATGTGAACGAGTACGCCCACTTGCCCCTGCACGTGCACGAGGAAGAAGGAATTGTGGTGGCAGGTACCTGGGGAAGGAGAGAGTTCATCCATCAAATACTATCCCTTAGGGCCCCCAGCATCCTAATCAGCAGAAGAGAACATCCACCAGTTAGACATCCCTTTGTTCTCACACCAGTGGGCAAACATCACTTCAGCAACAGTCAAATTAGGTGCAATAAAACACAGCAGCTTGGGAGACCTGAGTGTAGGGTTTAAGCCTGTGCACTAGGTCAGCATTCATTATCTAGTCGTGCAACTGTCATTTTAAAAGCTTGCGCTCCCTGTTCTTCATACTTACATTTCCTCCAGAGAATGCTGAGAAAAGAAATTAAGGTCATTGTAAAGGAACTGATCCCTGGTCCTTTTAACACCATCCCTCTGTATCCACAATCTGTAGAATAGGAGCAGAGCTGGCTAGCCACTAAACCCCCTGAAAGGAGTTACAAGATCATACTGTTTCTGGGCTATAGAATATTCTGATAGTGTGAAAGTTCAGTGGTTTGACAAATAAAATAGTAGGCCTTTGACACTAAAGACTATGTTCTCTGTCTTCACGATGTTCGGTGAACTGTGCTACCTGAATTCGTCCACAGCTGAGGTAGCACCTGTGGTCATGGTCACTCAGCTGGTCAAAAGCACAAACGTGAAATCCATGAACACCTAAGATCTGCCCTTCTCTTTCCTCTGAAGATCTCTAGTAGCATATATCATGTGTCTGGGCTACTGTAACCAATGGTATTAGGTGTCACGTTTGTCACAACTCTAGAGCCCTGAACACTATCTGCTCTTATGAACTGAGCCGTTAAACCAGAAAGAGCTCTGGGGAGAGTCGACACCTAGTGGGCCGCCAGGATGTGACAAAGTTATGAGATTGTCCTGGTTACTACTTGATAAAAAGGAAATCAGTTGCATGTCATCTAGACCCAGTGGGTTGGGCTGCCTCTTGACTAAACGTTGACACCAAGAGAAGCAGAATGCCCACCTGTTAGCCAGGATGCCCAGTGAACCATCCAGGGTGTCACACAGTCAGCCAGTGCGTCTTGTCACTTTGAATACCTGCAACTAGTTATGGTTCTAGAGCACCAGAGTAACTAATAACTTTGATTTTCAAAACCATGTTACCAGTAGAAAAAAGTTCCATCTATGACTTTGCGTTTTGGCTCACATGGAATCACGTTTAGCCCTTAGGAATCATGAGAAGCCATGTGTGCATGTCCGCAAGTTCTTGTCTGCAAGCTCTCAGTAACCTGCCACGTGTCTTCCCTCTCTTAGTGGGCCAGGACTGCTACACGAGAATCTGGAGCCTCCATGATGCCCACCTGCTCAGAACCATACCCTCTCCACACCCCACCTCCAGGACCAATGTTCCCAGCGTGGCCTTTTCTTCCCGGCTTGGGGGCTTCCGGGGAGCACCAGGGCTGCTCATGGCTGTCCAGCAGGACCTTTACTGTTTCTCCTACAGCTGATTCGGCAGGGTGCAGCCTGAAGGATGTGGAATTTACTTAAGGAAGTAAAGAGTAGCCATGGTTCTGCCATAACTGCTGTTTCCAATGAGCGCATTTTAAATGGATGCTCTACGAACACAGATCCTCATCCATCTAGCTGCTGGGGAGAAGGTGCTATGTTTTATGTGGAGACACTTTAGTAAAGTTATTTCAGTTACGTTGTGAGCTCAGAGAGCTTAAAAGTCCTTTTCATAAAAGGTACCTATTTCCTTTGGTTGAAGTCCTTAGAATAGTCCTTTCTTCTTTTTTAAACAATTTTTTCTAAGGGTTGAAGATTGGCAATAACTAAATTAAAGCTACTTTCACCAAAAGCCCTTTCATGAAGCCTAATGAGACTGGGTGAGACTTCAGGTAGTCGGTGCCTGAACCGCAGAAAGACATGTATCTGTACTTGAGAAAGCCAGTCGAGAGAGAGAAAGAAGGCTTTTCTTTGAGTATCTAGAGGAAGGTTTACAGCTGGAGTTCAGAGTCATCGAACTAGCCTTCTTATACTCCATATCAGTAGCAGGTCTCTGGGACTTTCCTTTTATTACCATTCAGAGGCATTAGAAGGAAAGATGGATCTTTTGAGGTGCTAGATGCCTTTGTCAAGGCACCTTCAGAATGTTAGGTGCAGCAGCTCTTATTTTTATCATGATGACTTGAATGTCAGATTCAAGGGCCCCGTCTCAAAGAAAACTGGCTTTGACTTTTTATAACCTATGGGAAACAATTTGTGAGCTATTTATAGTGTTAAAGAACTTGTCTACCAAACAATAAACTAGAAAAAAACCATGGTATGGTGAGTTGATTTGAATGACTTAGAAGATCATGATACTTGGCTGCTATAGCAACATACCAGCTGCAGTAATGTCTACTTAAATCTTAGGTGAGAAAAATAGGTAGAGACTGAGACCAGCCCTACATGGCTTTGCCGAGGAGCTTCCATTTGCCTCTCTGGATCGACCTGTACCTGTGTCACCTGCTGTGTGTGTTCCAGGAAGCTGACCTCTATGGACTACCTCACTGGCTCTGTAGCCCCGGGGGTTCAGCTGGTGGGACATACAGCAGGAAAGGAGAGGGCAGAAGAGTTAGGTGGGATTGTTAATCCCTGGCCTCCCTCCTGCTGGGCTTTGCGGGGCTGTGGCCATGTTCCTCCACCCAAGGCCAGGGCTTCTGTTGGAACATAGCTCTCTCTGGGTTCCAGTAACTTCTCTCCATTTGCCCTTTCAGGTCTAGCTGGTAATTGCACCTCACTGTTGCTAGCCCAGGATGCTTCACCAGTTAAACTCATCAGTTATCTCCTTGAACTTTACATCTGTTTCCTGCTAAAACTAGTACAACTTAATGTACAGGGAACCAAATCCAAAAAAACCAAAACCAAGAATGATTGGTCACGTCATAAATGAACTATGCTATAATAAATATTTTTAGTGCCTCATTTTATAAAGAACTTTCCAGGACACAAATGTTTCACTCATCTTACTTGATCCTTATAACAACCCATAAATGAAACAGGACAGTAGTAGTAATATCAAAATTATTAACATTTTATAGAGAAGTCTGAGCAGAGATATTGAGTGACTTGGCCTCCAGTCAGTCACAGACCTTGTCATGTAGAGAGCTGGGACTTGGAACCAGAACACTTGAGGTCACCTCCAGTCACTGACAATATTTAAATATCACAACTAGTGCTATGGGGAAATCAGGAAGTGGCTCAGTGCAAGGGTAAACATGCGATGCTAACATTTCATGACAATCACCAGGTAAATTTTTCTGGCACCAATGTGTTAATTACCAAAGTTCTTATGTGTTTAATCATTCAAATCTTGTCCCTGTATCTATGTAACCCTGGCATACTGACTTGTACATTGGTCCCAGGAAACACTTATACGATGGAAGGGGCCAGGTGGCCAATTTCACTGGAGTCTTTGGGATTAACTTTGCTGACATACCCCTGCTTGAGAGCAAAAAGCATAATAAATGCTGAGCCATGACCCTAACATCCACTCATACTCTTTATCACCTCAAGGTCTAAGTTATCACAATGTACAAGGTCATTCATTACAGTATCTGCAATTTGGAATCGCTGGTACTGCACATCTAATGCAGCACTTTCTCCACAGTTGTGCACTATTTCAGTGGAGCCGAAAGCCCACAGTTGGCTACTCAACCCAACTTTGATCTCCCCAAACAGTGGAGACATTCTGACTACTCGAGAATACCAGGTGGGTTCGACATGTATGGCCCTCTCCCCATTTGCCTTCTTAACTCCAACTATGCTTAAGTTTCTGGTTAGGAAAATACAGTTATCGAAAAATCATGTTAGATTTTCCTTAGGCTCTAAAGGTGGGGGGGAGGGGCTTTCAAAACTTCTAATTTAAATTTAGCAATTTGTTCTTGATCTCTGGTTAGCAGTCACTGCTCCTAACATTTGGTCTAGATTGTACAAAAAGTGGTTAAACTTAGCTAAGTTGATTTTAAACATTTTGGTCTGTTTGCTTATTAACAGAGATGATTAGTATGTTGCAGTCTCAAAGCATTTTTCACTTGCAGGTCTGTTGGGGCATTTTGTCCTGTCCCCCAGGTGACAGTGAAAGATAGAAAATGAGCAGGCAATGGTGGCAGCAGCACTGAGCTATGATAAACCTTTTGTTAAGTGGCCTGGTGTCTGCCTGCTTGTAGCCTTCTAGACAGATGAGAGAACAATGGCACATATTGGTTATCAAAAGTGCCCACAGATAAACACCCGCCTTACAATCCGTCTTGCTGTGTAGCCACCCTAGATAGAATTCAGCCGGCCAACATGCCCTGTTGGGGTACTGAGCTTCCTCAGTGTCCCCCAACAAGGGTTCCTGGAAGTGTCCTTTGAGACCAAGTAGGCCAAGTTAGCCCTGCTTACCTGTCAGCCCTAGATCTGTGCTGGTCTAAAACTCTCACATGATGGTCTCCGAAAACACCTGCAGGCTAAACTCAGTTTCTTCTTCCAATTCTTCATTTGTCTAAGTTGCTAAAAGCCTCTGGGTCCACTCCTTTAAGTCTGCCTCTCTAGGTCTCCCCCTGCACGGCCACTGCCACAGGAATAATCTTCCTAAAAGATCTGTGTTCCAGTGGTTTCTTGGTCACGTATAACATCCAGTTGCCCCATCTCCACCTGCCACCGGGTGCTCTCAGGACACAAATGTTTCAAGTTCCTCATCAGATCTCTACTCAAACTTTCCTTCACTCCTTTTCATCTGAAAAGTCCAACTGTTAAGTCTCAGCTTCACAAACCAGAGGAATTAAACCCAAGAGATGTGTAAGGACCCCACCGGGCCCCATTATTTAGGAGACCAATTAGTTCAACCACCAGCTTTACAGACCTAGCTCTCAGATATGTTCAATAACTCTCTCTTCCACCTATGAGCAAGTCTTTTAAACCATAAGGTTATTAAAGCCTCTGTGTAGCACCTGCCTAAAAGGGTGAGGACTAATCTGTGCTATAAGCTGTCAGGATAGTGGGTACTCCCAGTTGGGGGAGGGACTAGGTATTTCTGGGGTGCTGGTTGATTATATGTTCAGTTTCAGTAAATTAATCAAGCTGAAATGTGAATGTATGATACAGATCAATAGTTTAAGCTTTTGTCTTCATCCTGTATTTAGCTGGCTTTCCCCCCATAGTTGAGGCTGGGACTGTATGTATAGGGTAAGGAGAACCTCCTGTTACTCTGTCGCTGAGCTCCCTTCCTTCTGTTGGTCTGACTGGTGTAAGGAAGGAAGTTTCGAAGACTTCTGCCTCATACCTGTGGTCGGGCAGACTCGAGCTCAGGGGTGCCCCTGCACAGCGACTGGACAAATGGCCAGGTCTAACACGGCCTGCCACCACACACATCTCTCCTTAAATCCTCCCCATCCAGCCCTCTTACCCAAGAAACAGAAGATCAGGGCAAAAGCAACAGGCGCAGGAAAGAGAGACAAGGGAAAAGAAGATGGGGCAAAGGGAAGGGACAAAGACGAGAGTGTCAATGGCCACAAGAATGAGAGAGAGTAGAGAACAGACACAAGAGTTGAACAGACAAGGCAGGGGCAGGGCAATGAAGACAGGAGTGACAGATACAAAGACAGAAAAAGTTTCCCCAGTGTTTCCACAGGTCACTAGTAACACCTAGTCTCTTCTGTGAGAGAAGATTCCCCGGGGACTGTGATCCCACAGCTACTGGAGTGAAACCCTGAGAACACAAGCTGTTAAGCAGCCGCTATCACAGCACCACGCAGCACCCAACACAGCTGCCCTACTCGGGGCCAGGCTGGCATCGCTCAGCCTGGGCTGCGACTCCATGCTCCGCCCCCCATGGCACCCCCACTCCACAAAGCCTCGTCTCACACTCTCTGTGGAAAGCTCTGGTGAACAGCCCAAGTACAAGAGAACAGCAGGGTCAGTGAGCACACGTGGAGCCCTCTAACCACTAGAAAGCGTTCTCTATCAGTTAACACTCAGTCAAGGAACATCCAGAGTTCCTGGTTCCAGGAGGCAAACTGAGCTGGGCAGGCTAGCTATCCAAAGCCTGGGGGAAACATCCTGTTGCAATGAGATTAAAACCCATGATAATGTTCTGTGGTATTTGGCAGAGCTTTTTGAATTCTTGTTAAGAGTAATAAACTGAGGTATTTACAGGTAAAATATGACCACCCTAGAAACATGCCTCACTTGTATTCTGCTTTGAAAGCCACCAGCTACTTTCCCATCAATTAGAAAGAGGGAGCAAGACTTACTGGTGGAATTAAAGGAAAGAGCACAGT